TATCAAAAGCAACTACCAAAACATTACATCTTAGTGCAAGGAGTATGGTAGTAAATATATCCCATGTCTCGTCTGTATATGATACGCGACATTCCTATGCACTAGCACTGCCTCTTGGCACAGGTGAAGGTTGATTTCACAGGGGTCAAAAGATTCCGGAAATGAACCCATCCCCACAGATCTCCCAGAAATGAATTCTTCTGAATTTGGACCCCTGTCTTCATATTATGTTTATGTTTGTTCACGTTTTTTTTTACCTTTAAAGCATTTTCTACATTATCATTATGTGTTTCAGCAGAGAACTCAAGCGTTGATACATCAACCTCTTTCCAAGGAATCTCCTCAACTTCTTCAATTTCTGGTTCTAAGAAATTCATGGAGAAAAGAAATTTTCTAGTTAATGCTTCTAGTACAAGAGCATTTTTCCTTGGGTGAGCCTATATTTTTTCAATATATTCTTCACAATAGAGAATAATCAACAAATATTTTTTTTTCTTTAATAAGGCTATTTTAAATTCAGTATATTTCTATTGTACAATAATAATGTTTTGGGTTTTTCTCCACTGGTCACATTCAAAATACCTTTTTGCTCTGTTCTCCAAATCCAAGAGAACAAGCGACTAAAGAAACTATACTGCTGTTGATTAACCTCTGGTTCTTCAGGAACATCTACAGGTGGACGATATGCAAGATGAGCTTTAAATACAGGTGGCCATTCCTATTTAGAAAATAAATTTGTATCATTGCGTGCTTAAAATTCAATTTCTCAAAACTAAAGTGATTTTAACCACAATTGTAAAAAACTATAAATTGTTATCATAATTCATTGATTGATTAACCCCTTGAGTTTGAGCTTCTTTATTTAATAAACAAGGAAGAAAAACAAAAACCTAAAAATCTACCAGGAAATCATTTCTAAGATGAATCATTAAAATCATTGTTGCAATTGTTAAATTTACATCAATAAATTTTATAAATATTATTAATATTATTATTATTATTATTATTATTATTATTATTATTATTATTATTATTATCAATATATTTACAATTTGTTATAAAATGATTACATTAAAATTGAGTATCAAAGAATAGCTTTCTTACCTGAACAGTTGCAAAAACATATGCAAATATGGACTTTAGTGGTCCTAAGTACCAATACCTGTAGAAATGAGAAAGTATTTAATTTGGTAAAAAGTATTTAATTTGCTTTGATATTACTGTACAGAATCCCTGACATATGCAAGACACATGTAAATATAATAATATGAATGTGTGTACAAAAGTATTATTTACATCAAGCAAGTATACTGTAATTTATATCAATGCTTACTTGGGAATTCTATCTCGTACATTTCTGTATTCGCCCCATTCCAACTTGGACAATCCATACACCGACCTTCCTTCAGAATCCTACAAATATTCATTAACAATAATAATAATTAATATTTATATACATTTTTTTTACTTTAAGTATAGCAGTGTCATTTATCATCAGGTACTACCTACACAAATTTTCCATTTTGTACTGGAATTCTGAGACACAGAAATTGATAAGTTGAGCACTCTGGGTCATTGAGAACCCTGTGCATATACTGTTAGGCAAGACATTGTTGTTTGGTTTAAAGAATGTACTGTCCATTCCTCTAAGTTGAAAGGTAGAGTAATGATGTCAAAGGTTAGTTACCTGTATGGACATCACATCCACTGGTGTGGTCATGCCTTTAATTATTGCCATTGCTGCATTAAACATCCACCTATCGAAGCAGACGTTATATAGTATACATCACTTTGTAATAGCAATAAATCGAGTCTGAATCCCATATCATAAAATGTTACTTCAAAGTAAATTAGTCTTGAAATATCAATTTTTGAATATTTTGTTACTACATACCTGACTTCAGATTCCGAATCTAAATACAGAAACTTTGCTAATGTATTCGTGAAACCGATAGGGATGAATCCTATTGGCCAGTTCTTGCTGACTGATTGTTGATCACTTCGTCTAAGCAGGCCGGTTATAACCTCTCCTACGGTACCATTTCCACCAGCAACCACCAATGCGTCGGTGGACTCCAACGCTCCAGCACAATCTTTAGCATGGCCGTCAAATTCAGTCTAAATTAAGAGAAATTGAAACCATATAAATTCATATAAGAAAGGTTCTGTTTAGGCCAAGTTTAAAAAAAAAAGTAGTTTCTTGTCCTAATATTTAAAAAAGGGAGAATAAGGGCACTTTTTTTTCTTTACACCAAGATGACAAATCTAAGATGGTCAATGGAAAACAGCTATTAAATAAACATTGAAAACAAATAAAAGAAGCACTAGACATGATTCATACCATATTATTTTTAGAAAAAGGTACAGTAACTTGGATCACTGCGTTTTAAACTTTTCTCATGAACCAACTTTCACTATGAGACATATACAGTAACTGGTGACCTGACTGGTGACCTACCAGGTCAGAAATAAAAAGTTTCTACTCAAGTCACCGTCAATGAAGAAAAAGAATCAAACTTGCCTTAATTATTTCCACATTGATACCAGCTAGATGCAACAGAGGAGCAGCATTCTTCTCAAACAGCTTTTTAGCTTTCCTTTAAAATAAAACAAGAAAAGTCAGGCAAATTTTATTAAAGATAAAATGTTTAATTTTGTTTTCTTTTCTTGGCAGTTTGCAAACTCACCCCTTTCTGGCAGCAGGATTTAATATGATTGTTACTTTTCTTG